TCCATTGCTTAAACTCTGACCTCCGGTACTCAACTAAATTTGTGACAAATTTTTGACTCGACTGTTGAAAAATGAGATAATAATGAGAAAAAACCTTTAAAGAAAGCGATTTTACACAATAAAAATACCATATATACTATTATACAATACTTTTTCCTTACGATTGCAGGGTGTTATCGCTCAAACCTGAGCAAGCCTTCGCAAATTCCTTCGCATCCAATTAGAGCAGCCCGTTTCTCTTTATATATGTTAATTCCTCTTTACACATTTTTTTTCAACGAAATTCTTTGGAATTGGCCAACAATGAAGATATGCCCCAAAGAATTTCGGGCCGAGCGGAAAGTTTGCGCATTTAAAATTAAGCTAACAAGCTGAAATCGTTTCTCGCACCCGCACCACAAAAAGGCAGCCTCCGTATGTCCGAACGGGAAGGACACTCCCCGGCTAATGCCAATTATTGTAACAATATCGCAGGGACACAGGCTCAAAGTGAGTCCAAGGAAATGCCCAAATTGCTGGAAAAATGGCAAGCGACCGTTTTGGGGGTATCTATTAACGAGCAAATGGATGCTAGTGTGCTGCACCAGATTGAGTAACTTCTACGGCAGGCTTCACAATTTGTTTTCCCTTCTGGGGAATCCAGGGAAAAGGAAAAGGAATCACTTGACTTGTCGCAGTTGTCCTTGTCGCTTCCAGAAGAGACCCTGCCTTATGAGGGGGCGGGGGCGGCCATGGTTTCGAAAAACTTGAACGCCTGTTGACACACACGCGAAACACTTGAGCGGCAGGCAGGGGAGTGGGTAAAATACTTTGGTTTGTGGCTGCCGCTTGTAGCCGCCAAAAACATTTTGCTAACGATTTATGTCCGTTGCATGCTGACTTTTTCGCCCCCACACAAACACACACATATACACACACAGTTGCCCCTCTGCATCTTCGCCCGCAGACAAATTTCTGCTACTTTTTCAGTCGAGTTGGGCTGCCTGCTTGTGGTGCATCGGTGCTTAATGGCGCATTGCCATCATATTGGGTTTCAGGACAGCCACAGCCGCAAAACGGGGGCTTAGGGGACGGATAGTCGATGGCGGCAATAGCTCGAAGCAATTAGTTTAGTTTTACGTTGAAGATTTGCCATCGAGGTTAAATGGGGCTCTTCGGTGGGCAGCTTCTCCGCTTTCGCTCCCTTTTATGGGTGGTGTTGCACTTTAAGTGGAAACGATGATGTCAGGGATTAGTTGGTGGCTTAGGCAGCCATGGTTTATGGGAGTAAATTGGTATTTGTTGTTGGAAGTCCCAGCGACGGAAAGTGCATTTGTAAGCTGAGCCACCAAAGGAAAAAATTCCACTTAATTTCACTCATTAACCAAGCTGGGAAAACTTACACAAACAATACAAACTGTATACTAACAAGTTTGTATTTATCTATACTTTCTTGGATTTTCGTTGCATAAATGAGTTTTTGGCTTTCAAAATGAACGCATTTTTAAACTTTTCTTAAATATCAACAACTTAACTTAAATTATTATCATCCTTTAAAATTAATTCTGATTACATTAGCTCTATAAATATATTTATTTTATTTTTTACAACACAAATGGCAGAAACTTATGTTATGTCGAAAGGGGTGAACTTTTTATACCCTTGCTGAGGGTATTATAATTTCAGTCAGAAGTTTGCAACGCAGTGAAGGAGACGTTTCCGACCCTATAAAGTATATATATTCTTGATCAGCATCACTAGTAGAGTCGATCTAGCCATGTCCGTCTGTCCGTCCGTCTGTCCGTCTGTCCGCCCGTCTGTCCGTCTGTCCGTCCGTTTATATGCAAACTAGTCTCTCAGTTTTAAAGCTATTGAAACAGAGCTATTAAAGCTATGAAACTTTCCCAAAAGTTGTCTTTCTATTGCAGGTAGTATATAAGTCGGAACGAGCCGGATCGGACGACTATAGCATATAGCTCCCATAGGAACAATCGGAAAAATAATTGAAAAAAAATTATAACTTTGCTGTTTTTTATTGTTTTGTTTAGTTCTTCGACATATAGCAATGGTTAAATAATTCAGAATTATGGTTAAAATTTCATCAAAATCGGACGACTATAGCATATAGCTCCCATAGGAACAATCGGAAAAATAATTGAAAAAAAATTATAACTTTGCTGTTTTTTAATTTTTTGTTTTGTTCTTCGACATAAAGCAATGGTTAAATATTTCAGAATTATGGTTAAAATTTCATCAAAATCGGACGACTAAAGCATATAGCTCCCATAGGTACAATCGGAAAAATAATTGAAAAAAAATTATAACTTTGCTGTTTTTTAATTTTTTGTTTAGTTCTTCGACATATAGCAATGGTTAAATATTTCAGAATTATGGTTAAAATTTCATCAAAATCGGACGACTATAGCATATAGCTCCCATAGGAACAATCGGAAAAATAATTGAAAAAAATTATAACTTTGCTGTTTTTTTATTTTTTTTAGTTCTTCGACATATAGCAATGGTTAAATATTTCAGAATTATGGTTTAAATTTCATCAAAATCGGACGACTATATCATATAGCTCCCATACAAATAATAAAAATATATAAAAGAACAATCAAATAATTATGCTGCAAATCGTCATAGCTTCAATGTTTTTAAACATATACGCAAGTAAATCATAATTTTAATGTTTTCAAAAATATTTAATTCTTGCGAAAGCTGCAAGGGTATATGAACTTCGGCTTGCCGAAGTTTGCTTTCTTTCTTGTTTTAATTGATTTCTTTGGTTTATAAAAACAGCAAGAAGGACCAATCAATTAACTCGAAACCTTTCACCCCTTTCAACCCAAGAATTTCAAGCCAGTTAGGAGCATTTGCACTTTCTGTTCTGTCCCCTTTTCATCGAATCCCTTTTGCGGGACAACTTTGAAAAGTTTTAATTAAACCAACTTTAAAGCTTTTAGTGTTTCTGCTGGTCAGTGCTGTCAACATGTGCCAGGACGCCCCGGACAGGATAGCAAGGGACATATACTTGTTTCATATCCAACTTCCTGTCCCAACTTCTCCCACAAACCCCATGACCTGCACTTGGGCTGTATTAAATCTGAACTGTTTTACAACATTTTTGCCATTAACACATTTGACCAAAAGTGTCACCAGAGTGGGCTCTGAGCTTTAAGCTTGGCTGGAAAAACAAAAATGGCAAACAACCCGCAGGTTGCCGAGAGGAGCAACTTTTCGTTGAAACGGCAGCAGCAGATTGGGTTAAAGCCTAAAGTCCTTTAGCAGCCTGACAGCTGTCCAAAAATGGGATCTCGGCTGGTCGGTGGGCGATGGGCAATGGGCAATGGGCGATGGAGATGCAAACAAGCCGTGAACAGAGGTCCAGGAACAATGGACCGAGGACACAGGACCTGTGTCAAAGTTGCCCAGCGAAGTGACAAAAAATGATGTATGAAACTGGACAGGAAAAAGGCAGCAGAGCAGGGGGCTGGGGGCGTGGTGCTGGCCAGTTCGTTCTTTTTTCGTATTTAAAGTTACACCTACAAAAGCGTCAGCTGTGCTTCGGTGTCAGCCTTATCCTTGGCCTGTCATGTTGCGTCCTAAGTCGCATCACTGGGTTCAGGGCAGCTCCTGTTCTTCCTTACTTTTCTTGTTTCCCTTGTTTTTGTGGTGTCCATATCCAGAAACTCATCTGGTTTTTGCCGCTTTCTGCGGCTTTTTATATGTGTTTTGTATTAGGTTTTGATTGTCTACCGATGAGTTTTGGGAGGCTGTTTTTTCCTCCATGTTTAGGGGTTTTAATGGACAAAATAGTTATTTTTACTGAAATTCAAGTCTAACATTATGTTAAGAAGTCTGTTGGGTTTCTCAGTTCTAGCATGCGATAATCGAGCACTGTTAATGTTAACCAGGGTTATGTCCTAACTAAAATGCTATGGAAATGTTATCTGCCAGGCTTCTGTTATTTAACATTAATGTAACTTTAACGTCACCTTATTTTATTTAAGTTTAACTATAAGCACCGAAAAACATGAATATTTTTAATTAAACAGTGAAAACATGATGGAATCTCTGCTTGCCATTATTATGCTGCCCAACTTTTATTTTATCCTTACTTGTGCTTGATTAAACCTACAACTTTAGTGCCTAAATACTGGAATGGTTTTTCTGGTTAACCTATTCCGCATCCCTTTATTTTATCATCCCGAAGTATCTAAACTTTGGCCGTTTATCTCACCCATTATCTCCATCACTGTCCGAATCCACCCCTCTGAAGGGCTCTCTTTAATGCCGGCCCAAAGGCCCAAAGTGTAAACAGCAAATACTAATTGTCTAAGGGCACGCAAAATGCTTCTTGGTTTTTCCGCCCCACATTTTCCGTGTTCCATGGATTTTCATCGCACGCCTTTTTGTGAGGGATATTTATGGGAGCCAAAAGCCCTTTAACTGGGTAAACACAATGTAAGGAAAGTTTCATATATTACAACACTGTGATGTTGTAGTAATGTAGTGTGCAGTCTCAGCTGTTCGGTTTACATCTGCATTTCGAAGTTTTGGTTTTTGGTTTTGGTTTTGGTCAAGGGACGCGCCCTTTTTATGCCCTGCTGGATTTTCCATATTCTTGCTCCGTCATTCTAGTTGTAAACAAATGCTCTCCACCCTGCGTGGAGGCGGCGAAAAAGTCAACAGAGTTTATGGCAGCCTTTTAGGCGGCACTGTTAACTGGGAGTCTCGCTCCCCCGAAAATTCTCTCTATCGATTTGTTATTCATGCTCTGCGCAATCGTCGCTCCAAACGGGGCTGCAAACTGGGACCAGTAAATGTTTTTCGGCAATATAGGGTGCCAAATTCCGGCTCAGTCCGCCCAAAAGTCACCCTGTCACCGCACATGGCATCCAATTAGCACACAACAGAGAGAGTTAGCCTTTGCAGCTTTTATGGCAAGTGCCATCTCTCACACATACACGCACAGAAAACACTCTCTCAATCTCTCACGTACACTTTCCTCTTTGCAGGGGTGGTATGTGGATAAATTTTAGCCGCCATGGATCCCAGTGCTCTACAAAACATGGATCGGGACGCATTAAAGAAGCAAATCGAGAATATGAAATATCAGGCCTCCATGGAGCGCTGGCCGTTATCTAAATCCATAGCAGAGTGAGTAAAAATAAAGCCAAGAATATTATTTAAAATTTAGTAACCAAGTGAAAAGTGATGGTAAATGTAACGAAACAATATATGAATGAAATCAGCATATAAATTGTGCTACTTTCTGTGATTGTGACTGTGTGTGTGTGTGTGTGTGTGTGTGTGTGGTGTGTGTGCTTGGAGTGACCTACGACCCCATTAGACATTTGCATCTCGTCTAGACTGGGAAAGAGAGTAAATCTGAGTTTTCACACATTTGTTAAGCGACTACCCGCAAAATATTCGCACACGTGTGCTAAGAGCCAGCAGCTCAGTTGGCCAAGAATTTCAGCCGCTTGTTTGCTAAATATTTACACAAACATAAAGCTGTTGTTGGCTGGCTCACTTCTTTCCAAAGACAACAACTGCGTCGTCTCAGGACTCCATTTCCCAGTGTGTGTGTGTATTTGTGTGTGCGGTCTGTCCATGTGTGTCTATGTGTGTTGCCCTTGTGTAGACAGCGGCTAGACATGAGCGGAGCCAGAAACCCCCTCCTCCAGCCCCCTCTTGCCACCCTGAAAAGGGGAAAAACGTCAAGTGAAATTCTCACTTCGCTACAAGAAATTACTCAGGAAACGGATTTCAAATAGGTTTGCCAAGGTGCGAAGGAGACGGATGGCCGCCGTCGGTAAATTGGTTTTACTGAATGACAAATTCCTGTACCGGCAATTACTTCAAAAGGTTGTCCTCCCCCCATTGCTTTCACTTTCATTATTTTCATTGGCAATTCAGTGAAACGGACACGACTCACAATGGAGAGCTGGTAGAATGACTTGGGAATACAAGAATTCAAGGTGTTTTTGTTTGACTTCTAATTTAGTTACTTTTCCTGGACTTCTTCTGATACTTATATATATCAAAGCAGCAGAGCAAATGGTTTAATTCTAGTATTCAATTAAAAGCATTATCCATTAGAACTCTGTGTAAAATTGGAAGTTGTCTCCTACAAATATTTCATTTGACTATGACTCTAAAATATTTCCCATTCGAAATATTTCCAACGAAATATCTTGACCTATTTATGCATTAGGTGTATTTTGGCAGAGTGTTATCTTGAAATAGGAAGGGCAGCAGTACAGCCACTCATATGCTTAAGTGATTCATATGATTCGATGATTCAATGTTTCAAAGATCCGAAACATTATGAGCAAAAGCAAACTCCTAATATCTACCCATTGTTTAAAATATAGTTTTTGGATGGTTCTTATCTTGAAACTCGGAAGTGCAGAATTAAAAGTAATCCGTGCTACAAAGATAAAAATATTGTAACTGAACCAAACTGGTAGTTCCACAAGCAAACGTTTGCTAGTTGTTAAAACGTTTGTTAGTCGTGAAAAAGTAAGGTTAATTAACTAAATTTTTTGTCTGACCAGATAGCTGAAACACATTTGTTAGTTGCTACCAACTTTTTTAAACTAAAATGTTCAATTGACAAACAGCTATTTTATTCCATTTAAGTAAAAAAAAATAATATACGTTTTGTTGTCAATAAAACTATATGTACACATCGATGTCAGAAAAATGTATCTGCTATGAATAGAATGTTTTTTGATTTTTTGTATATTTGTATACTTCGGCAAAAATGTATAAGCTTCGAATAGAATGTATTTCTATTATTATTTTATTTTAGTTGGTTGGCTGATCACACCCTGGAGGCAAATATGTGTTCAGCATTATTTCATTTAAATTTCTCCTCATATTTTATTTCAAACTTTCCTGAGCGGGAACAAAACATGCAGCATAAATCACAATTAACTCTGCTGCTTTATAGGTCAGCTTTTAATTTAGCTTGGAGCCCGAAGAAAAACAGCCACCCTGCAGAATTACCCGTATTTAGTCTCATGGATTGCGTTTCTAATGTCATCTTTTAAATAAACACCCAACTGAGGACGGCGCAAACGTCCTCTGATTTAGTTAAACATTTAGTCAGCAGCTAATTATGAATAATTAATTGGCACACAGTGAATTTGCGCTGCTTTTGCTCGCTCTCTCTCCATCTTTCCATCTCTCTCTCTCTTTCATCCAGCTTGCTGGCTCATCTGTGACTTAATGTGGCCCAAACTGGCTTCAAAATGTGTGCGTTGTTGGCGGCCGCCAGCGGCTTTCATAAATAATTTAACACCCGACTTTAGAGTCGGTTGCCGCCCAGTCACCCAGCTCAATTTGGGGCGTTGTTCGGACTCCTCCCATCTGCCACGCCCCCACTCGCCTACCCCCTCGAATTTGCCAATGTGCAGTTGAAATTTTGTTTACTAATTTGCATCCGTCGAAATGAGGCTCTCTTCAATTAGGGGAATCTGCTGTTTGTTTCTCTTCATATTTCCTTCTTTTTGGCCAACTCAACTCATTTATGTCTGAGTCACGTTGCCTCTTAAATTAGAGGTGTTAATTACCAAAACGTATATGGTAATGAATCCAGAGACTGCCAGGCATGATTTTGAAGAGTAATTAAGCTTAATGCTACCTAATGTGTTCACATACCTAACTACTTAAAAAGTCTTTTTATTTCAAAATGTCGGTCAAGATAAAATTAACCAAAAAATCCTTAAAAACATTAGTGGTTTCACAAATAACTTGTTGAAAACCTATGTATTTAATTAAACAGATGAGTTTAGTGAACTAAATTTGAAATAAGAGCAGCAAGAAAGCAGTAAGCCATTTTAATTGGATTTACAAACCACAATTTGATGCATTAAGCAAGTAATCACAAAGGCAAGCTGGCAATTAAAATTTGTTTCCAATTATAAAATGCCTAACCGCATTTATACATCGTTAAAAATTCGAAAATTAAAGTGAACGTAGAGCAAACCAACATCAAAGGAAGTTCAATTTGCCGAATTTCGAATTTCACGCTGCTGTTTTATCATTATTTTTTTTATTCATCGAAACATCGCATACTTGTCACTTAATGAGCATACAAAACGGGGCAAATTAGACGGCCATCACTCATTGACATACACATGTGAAACTTTGCAAAAGCAAAGTCAATTAAATTTTGAGAGCGGTATCGCATCGCTCCTGATTTCTGATTGATGGTCTGACTGACCACAAAGTGGGAGCCAAAGGATTGTAGGTGGGTGGGTGGATGGATGATTGGTTGGATGGTTGTATGGTTGGACGAAGAATGTACTCGTTAAGTGCAGCAAACACCGCACATTACGCCGATTTGTTGCAGGCAACGTAACGAGGAAATGGAATCCGAAACCCAGTCCTACACCCACATACACTCCTGCAGCCCATGATTGATGAACGTCCATGGGTTGGTTTGCTGCTGGCACCACTGAAACCACCATGCGTGACAAGCTCCTGTCCGCAATTTCCTTTCGTTTCGTTTCGTTTCGATCCGTTCTGTTCTGTCCTGTCCTGTCGGCCATTCGGGTGTCGTAGACAAAATGTTGCATAGCCGGAGGCGCATACATTTCACCTTAATGTTTGGCCAGGACACTGCTGCTATCCTGGGGGCGGGCCTGGGGTTTATTTCAACCAAACTTTACCATGCAGAGCGCTCAGGTGTCCGGAGGAGAAACTTTTACTTTACATCGCATAAAATGAATTTCGGTTCGCTCCACTCGGAAACTTCTTGCGCAGCTGCATATAAATCTTGGTGCTTCTCAATTTATTTGTAGCCCGCTTTTTTGTAATGGGTGTATGCTGTATAAATAATGCAGAATGAAACACTGCTCCAAAAAAAAAAAAAATGGGAAACGCTTTGAAGCGCATTTCAAGCGGAAAATTATGTTCCTTTTGTGGCTGTTTGGGTTTAAGGTTCCTTTTTCTGCACACATCTTTATGGCATTTCATATTTTACTGCCGCCCACCGGCAATATTGGGTCGCGGCCACCCGCCACGCCCCCTTTTACTTGCGGTTTATTATACGCTGTAAATTTTCCCCGAGGCTGCGGATGCATTCTGTTTGCTCTAATCTTTGTTGCATTCGGCTTTTGGTATCGCTTGTACATTGTAAACATAAAACACGATTATTTTATACCCGCCATTCTTTATTCTCAATTAAATCAACTGATTTATATCCATTTATTTACTTGGCGTACATGTATGGGCAATCAATTTTGGAATTGCGCATAAATCAACCAAAATATTCATATTTTTCTTGTGGATTTTTTGTGGCCTTTCGATTTGTCCTTTTCAATATCAAGTATCATACATTTTTGCTGTCAGTTATTTAGTACGTTGATGGCTGAAGATAGGAGTATAAATTATTTTTGCATAAAGCTATCTGGTTTTGCTAGAGTTAGTTCCGTCATAATGTTTGGGTGTCTTTCGCAGTGCGATGTGATGTATCATTTAAAAATCATTTCAAAAGCTTTTGTTTATCTTGTTACTTTTGTCCTTTGTGGATATCTAAAAATTATGCAATCAAACAAAACCATGAATATATATATTCTTTTCGTTTTCGGATAGTTAAAACTTCAATAAATGTAAAAAGCCAAAATAAAACCTTGAACTCTCGCAAACAAAACAGGTCTCTTTAAATTTTACTTTCTTTAACTCACCATTGATACCTCAAATAATGCTGTCTCATCGCTTGTAAAGGGATGAAAACTTGCCAAATCATTGGCTTTTCCAGCTCGCAGCGATCTGTTTTCTTCCATTTCTCGTTAATTCTCCTCCATTGATGGCATGCAACTTTTAAGCTTTTCGGCTGGCTGCCCCACAGACTGACTTCCTTGCCAAATGCCGGACAAGAAAGGAAGCTGTGACAAAAGCTGCACAAACTTTGATTAACTTACTGAAATGAAATTCAGCAGCGGTGCAGGGATAAATGGAAAATCCTCGCTGGCATTTTTCCCCAATGCCCCATTGCATCGCATTAAGCACACATGCACGCATTAGATGCTAATTCCAGAATGGCAAAAATGGTCCAGTTTTCCAAGAGCGGAAAACGGTGAAGAACTGTTGGTAGCCTGGGAAACTTTAAAATAGCTGTGTATGCAAATTAATTGCCAGTACAT